GTGTCAGTGTGGCTCACTGTGGCTCAAACCCCTTCGGCTCTGTACTCCTCAGAGTTAGTGATGCTGACTGCAAGAGCTTCTCAGAAAGTCTGTCCTGCAGCTTGGAAGATAAGGGTAAACTGGTATAAGCATGTCTCAGCTTAAGCAACCTTAGCCTCCTGTACATCAGGCAAAAGCCAGTCATCAAGCAGAGCCTTGCAAAGGAGAGATGCTTCAAATTAGGATTTCTATCCCTGTTAACCCTGTACCATAAAAATCCATTTTCAGCTTAAATAAAAAGATATCAAAGGATCCTTACCTTATAAGCACAATTTAGGTTCATAAGACTTAAACAAACCAATGGAAGGGTTTGAGGGATGAACACATATCTATATTACAGTTGAAATCTGTTACTATCCAGACGCATGGTACATTTTACCAAACGAAGTTAAATGCAGATAAAGAAAATAAAACCCTGGTGAAATCACTGATTAGCACGGGGTAGAGAAGTTATTTTCCCAGCTAACTCTACACTAATTCCATATGGGCCTTGGGTAAATGTATGTGACTCCAAACTGAGGCCATTTACTGTTTTTCATTTTTTACAATAGTTACTTGTTAATCAAATGCAGGCTATGTATCTTACTATAAACTTGTACTGCCCACTTTTGTTTTGTTATGGTCAATATTTTTGTAGCTCACAAAAGAACAGGAAGTGCTATGGTTCATATTCTGCTTATCATGGCTATGAACAGTAACTTTTATATGGACCTAATTTTCTCATATTCAAAAGAACTGCCCATCAGAGGAGAAAATCCAGGGGTTAGGAGTAAGGTCACAGGTCCTCTTACTCCTGTCACTTTAGACATGAGAGGGCAGGCGTCTGCAAGGCAAATAAAGCAGCGTCAGGCTAGTGTGGCTGGAAAGGGAGGGAACATGGGTCTTGCCAGTGTGTGACCTCAGTCTGAGCATAACTCCGTCAATGTCCCCAGAGAAGTGCAGCTTTACAGGCCCACCCACTTCCTCAGCTCTATGCTGATTGTGTGTTCATTGTGCTTGCTGTATGCTTTATGAAAATGTCTCATACAATCCATTCTTTGTGACCCGAATCTCCCTCTAGGGAACCATGAAAAGATGAAAGATTGCGTGTTTCTCCTGCTTGCATGGCTCCGCCATACATGATCTGGCTGCAGCTGAGTGGGCAGAATTTCTGGGCTCCTCAAGTCTCCCGGTCATGCAACACCCATGGCACACCCTGGTAACATCTGGCACCATCACAATCAGAAAGGCGTCTTTTGAAGAACCTCGTGCCCCACTTATGGGCTTGTTTGCCTTGAAAGTTGGTTCTAGTTTGAAAGTACAACTTGTTTATTCCCAATTACACGTGGACTTGGGAATCTATTTAATTGCCTGAGCAGGCAAATGATCTACAATTTATCTTGCAGCACACAAATGGGCTATCTCCACCAGGTCAAAGTTTCTGTTGGAACTATCTGCCTCAAACCAATCCAATTATATATTAACACACATTTTTCTTTAAAAAAAAAAAAAAAGACAAATGCTGGTTACCCATGATGCATGCCTATAACCCCGGTATTTGGAAGGATGAATGAAGATTAAGAATTTGAAACCAAGTCAGGCGTGGTGGCACACAAGTTGAATCCCAGCACTGGGGAGGCAGAGGCAGGCAGATCACTGTGAGTTGGAAGTCAGCCTGGTCAACAGAGTGAGTTCCAGGACAGCCAAGGCTCTGTAAAGAGACCCTGCCTCTAACAAACAAACAAACCACCTGAAACCAGCCAGTAAGATCTTGTCTCAAAACACTGTGTAAAATAGCTAGTGAATGATATACATGATATATTGCAGATTTTCTACATATAAGTCAATCATCTTGATAAAGAATTTTGTGAGTTCAAAGCCTAAAAATAACTCAACCCGATGACCAGCATTTTAGAGCGAAGGGAACTGGTACTGAATCGCTGGGTTTCAAAGTGAGGAGAATGAGAGATGATGACAGCAACTGATAATGACAACTAAATTGTTGTCTTCATACTTAGGATGGACCAGCTCATGCCAGTAAGAAAAGTCACACGTGAAGAGTCATCAGTCTAACATAGCCCAAGTGAGGCTGGTCTGTGCCATGCTACAATTCCACACCCAAGATCTATTCTTACTGACACCATCTTGGACTCTGTGAGAGTTTTAACGGTCTGAAGACACAGCTCCTTTAGAGACAGAAATGCCTTGCATTGTCTTGTAGTTGCAGCCTAGACATATAAAGTGAGGGTCAGAGAAACAGGCATCACCTCTGCCCTCCCATGAACTGGGTAGGGAAGAAATCTTCACCTGTGGCCAAGGTAGGAAGTGGTAGATGAAGGAAGTCATGAACCTGGCAGGCAGGTCAGCAGAGACTCCAGTGGTAGGCAAAGCCAGATCACGGAGAACCTTGGAAGCCACACTAAGGTCATTAGATGTTTTTATTCCTTTTAGGATTATATATGACATATATTTTTAATCAAAAAAGAAAACTAAGTGAGAAAGTTATAGGCATACCAAAACCATCCCTTGGAGGTAAATGCTAAAAGGGATTTTGATCAAAAATCCCTCATTTAAACCACTGCATCAGAATGAACTTCTTATAAATTCTCTCCGAAGTTAACTACAGAGAGTAGGAAGTACAGCTATTAACACGTACACAGTGGAGGAAAGTGTTAATCCTGCAACTACTGCCCTCATGGGCATCGACAGCACTTGCTAATTCTCCTATAATAACATCAAGAGCCATTCTCAAAGTTGCTATTAGCATTCTGCTATGAAAAGCACAGCCAAGCTAATGTCAACTCACAAATATAACCCAGTACCTATAAAACAAAAAATACCATTAGTGGCAGCTTATTGCCTTATACAAGGCAACCATGACAAAGGAATTAAAACATTTTTAGGACCTATGTGGCAGACCATACAGTTTAAACACAATAATAGTTTAAGAATAATCTGTGTGTGCATCGTATAGCAACTCAGCAAGTGGTGGAAAACCCTGATGAAAGAAACGGAAGGATGGGGCCATCAAGATGCCAGCAGCAAAGATGCCTGCAGCATGGGTGACAGTGTGAGTTCAATCCCAGGGACCCACAGATAGAAGAGCTAATTCCGCCAAGTTATCCTTTGACCTCTACACAAAGGTGGCCTGGGCAAGAGTGTTGATACTGATGATAGTGAGGAGTGGTCAGATTCCGGATGTGCTGACTCTATCCCGGGCGGGATGGGCAAGGAGGAGGAGCTAAGGAACAATGGAGATCTGAGGCCTGACTCTCTGGAAGGACAGATGAGGACAGTCGGGAGCAGAGCAAGTTTGGGGCAGTGAGTTCAGGACTGCGTGGCTATTCACAGTATGTCTGAAACAGGCAGCAGCTGCGCAAATGCCGATACTTAAGTGAGCGTTTGCACAAACAGCTCTGGTGAAAACTCAGTAAAGGGTGTAGGCTAGAGATGCCAGAGTCATGTGTATTGTATGACTTCAGGAGACTAGATGAAACTCCCAGGGGACACACACCAAAAGGATCAGAGGACAGGGCTTGGGACATGCTCATGATAGGAGGAGGGCGGGGGGGAGCCCAGCAAAGAAACCATGAAATGGCAAGGTTCCCGTGTTGCCATTTGGGGAGCGTGAGGTTCACACACCTCTAACTCTGGAGGCAAGGAAGGAAGATTGGCAAAGGTCAACCTGAGCTACAGACTGTCTCAAAGCAGGGGAGTGTCCTCCAGTAAGAGCCAAACGCAGGTTGGCAAAGCCGATTAACAGACTCATATTCCAACAAGAACTAATTCGGTGCCTTTCCAGACACCCTGAAAAGGGGCTGTCAGGTCAGGGCTATCTGCTACTAGTGCAGGCCTAGTCCTTCCCCAGACCTGCTCACCTCCAGCCCAGCTGCCCCCTCAACTGGGCTGGAAAGGGAGCAATACAAAGAATTCAGAAACCAAAGTTTTCTTAAATCCAGGCATGCTGCCTACTCCTCATCACCATTCCTTGGCTCAATTACTTTCTGAACTGCGCACAGGAGCCCAAAAAGGACTTGTGGTGTACTTATTAGCTGACCCTCTAGGCTGCTGTTACTTTCACCAAAACTTTTAACTAAAGACAAATTACAGATATCCCTACACGGACCAAAAGGTTTATTAAAAAAAAAAAAAAAAAAGCAAGTGGCAAGTGCACACAAAAGAAGATCCGAGCAAATGTCACTTTTGTTTGTCACTGAAACGTAATGAGAAAGCGGAGGAAACAGGCAGCACCTTTGAGTACATTTCGCTAAAGACAAGTCCCTTGATGATGCGCTTTCTCATTTCGGTATACACAGGCTGCATTTCGACATTTAAGAAAACAATATAAACTGCTTGGGCCCTGGAACCCTAATTTCCCATAAAACTTTAAGGGCCGTCTCTCATTTAAAACTTCCCTATCATTTCTCACACTCTTCTCCAAAGAGAATTCCTGTTTCTCCAGAAGTAGCCCACAACTAGATACAATGTTTCTTTGTTAACCACGTAATTGCTGCGTCCTCTGTTGAGAATTATTACACCGTCATTACACTAGCTTTTCCCTGAATACGATCAGCAAGCGGCTTCTAGAAGTGACCCATCCCACCTTCTCTACTGCGAAAGGGTTCGCAGATGCTGACTGAAGGGCAGAGTACAGCCCCTCCCCTCCCACATGTGGGATCCAGGCATCCAACGCAGCCGTCAGGCATGGCGGCAAGTGCCTTTCTCCACTGAGTCATGTCACCCACACCACAAATCTTACCTTGATCCAATGTGTTCCGAGACTTTAGTCATTCTTTTAGAAAGTGCTTTTGTTCAGGGTTTTTAAAATGCTGACACATGCCATCATGTGTGTTTAACAGTTCTTGTTTGAAAGACCTTTAATTCCCGGAGTCTGTGTGAGGCGGAAGTCGACCTGACCTGCCTTGCTCTTGTAGCCCCCCTGTGTGGTCTGATGACACGTATTACAAACAGAGCATACTCACCAAGTGGACGTAAGGCACAAAGTATCCAAAAAGTGCAAGCGGTATCCCTGCAGCCCACACTGCATAAGCTGTCACCTTGAAGATGGCAAGATTGAAAAATTTTTTTGGAGGACTAAACTTTCTCCTGGAGAAGAAGGAGAATCTGCTGCTCCCGCTCTCTGTCTCTTTGGCAGTGGGAACAAGAGGTCGGTAAGTAAAGCCAGCCAGAAAGAGAACGAACATGAAGACGCAGAGGACCCTCAGGGTGAAAAAGAGGCCCACCCTGTTGGTCAGACTCCCTAAGAGCCAAGGGAGCAGGATTGTGAAGGCGCTGCTGCCTGCCGTGACGATGCCGTTAACTAGTCCGAGGCGCTTCTTGAAGTAGTGTCCCAAAATAACCAGTGAGGGCTGGTACGCAAAGGAGCAGCCGCAGGCAAATATGATCCCATAGGTAAGGTACAGAGGCTCGATGGAGCTGCATAAAGACGAAAGAGACAGAAAGCAGCTTTAATCTTCCTTACGGTACTTAGTAAAATAAAACCCGAGTAGGGGGTGGAGAGACAGCTCAAGGGTTAGGAGCATCCGCTGCTCTCCCAGAGGACCCAGACTTGGTTCCCAGCACCCACATGGCAGCTCACAACCACTGTAACTCCAATCCCGGAGGATCTCACGGCCTCTGTGGGCACTAGGCATGTACATGCTGCACATACACACATGTATTTAAACATACATACACATGAAATAACATTAAATAACTCTTAAAAGGAACTCCCTTAGTAAAAATACATCTTGTCAACGTGTTTTCTGAAAATAAAAATGGGGGAGGTTTTAATAAATCAAGAATATAGCAGTAAAATATTTTAATTTAGTCTGAATGTACCAAAATACGACCATTAAGGTTATCAGTGGCTCTGCTACCCTTTGCCTACCAAGGACTTCTGGTGAACCATACACACACAGCTCAGAAATAAAGACTGCTGCCAGGAAGGCACAATAAAATCTTGTTCAACAGTACTTTTAAATTACAGTTTAACTATGCACACACATTATTTTTATGGCACTTCTCCAGGTGCTTACTAAGCAATATAGTCAGAGAAAAGGCTACGTCTGCCTGGTGCTGTCTTCTCGGTGTTGTATCGAGGACACTTGAATTCCAGGGCAGCTGTGCCCCCACTGTCCCACAGCTGTCAACCAACCTTCGCCCCTACTGCGTTCTTCCCAGCACTGTGCAGGGGAAGAAGAAATCATATTCAGATTGCACTAAGACTGAATTAAGTGTGTTCAGCAGTGAGTCCAGTCTGCAAGCCTTTAAAGTAACATATTACTGATGTTTCAGAAGAACACACGCATTTTTAATTTAATCAAATAGCTGTACATCTCTTAGGAAGGTGAAGGGCCGTGTGCTTGGAAACAAGTAAGGTAAGGGCTAAAAGAAAACAAGTTAAAAGCTCTCTTCTTGTTCTTTCTTCTTTTTTTCAAAGTCCAATTCAAAAGGCTATTTATCAGCAGATAAAGCTGGCTAATAATTAAATTTTGGACAATAGTGATCACTTACCAATATACTGAGGGAATCACAAGGAACTCGACCCTGATAAAATGAGGACCGTTGGCATCCTCTGAGCCGCCCTTCCCCCCACTAAGCCACACGGAGCCCGACTTCCCGTGTCACTCCCAGACTCCCAGAACTCCCATCTCACTAGTCACTGCATCCTACTCTTGTTGTTTGTTTGTTTGTTTGTGTTTGCTTTGCTTTGCTTTTTCAAGACAGGGTCTCTCTGTGTAGCCCTGGCTGTCTTGGAACCCGCTCTGTAGCCCAGGTTGGCCTTGAACTCACAGAGATCCTCCTGCCTCTGCCTCCTGAGTGCTGGGGTTAAAGCATATGCCACCACAGCCTGCTCAAATCTCCATTCAACAGACACATTAAACAGAAACTTGGTGGGAAAGTATTGAAAAATATTTGTATTTCAAATTACTCACAGTATGCATAAAGTAATACTTCCATCCCTATCCCCAGTAAGAACTACATAGAACAAATAATGCTTTGTTTCAAAATACGCTTCAATTGTAATCATTTTACATGATGTTATGGGTTCTTTTCCTGTGTGGACATCTGTGCATCATGTGTGTCCCTGGTGCCCATGGATCCCTGGGACTGGAATCACAGACAGTTGTGAACCATCATGTGGGTGCTGGGACTTGAACCCAGGTCCTCTGGAAGAGCAGCCAGTGCTCTGAATCGCTGAGCCATGGCTCCAGCCGGTGCTTCATTCTTTTGAGTTGGAGGAAGTTGCCTGTCCTGGTTTTAGGTCTCTCGCTGTATGGCAGAGATTAACCTTGAGTTCACTCTGTACCACATTCTCCACATAAGCAGTTTCCTAAATAACTGCAAGTTCTCAAATTCTCAAAATTTAAAAAAAAAAATGTGATATTTATGTACTTTTCTCTACCTCCCTCAAAATATATATTAAAAATAGTTTTGATGACATTATTATCACACACATCAGGTGCTACAGTTACTCCTCAATGTGGAGACAATAAACCAGACAGCCATGAACATAAATCAGAAGCATTCTTTTGACATGATTTGAAATCTCACGTACTGGGCGTGAGTGGTTTCACGTCTATCTGTCACTGTCCTCGCAGAACTTCTGCCCTCATGACAACAGCTGGTTTCAGTGGCTGACATCTAACTGCAGTGGAAGGCAGTGAGGCTGCACGATCATCATCATGTGCACAAGGATTCCGAGCGGGGGCGCTGATGGGCATGACCCAGTGGGCCAGAGAGAGAAGGCTTCCTAAGAAGGCCCAACTGGAATCACTAGAAAGCCGGGCCCGCTACCTCACGCTGGTAACTTACACCAGCTTTCTCCATGTGTTGTGTGACAGCCTTCGAGTGGCAGGTTAAAGAAACTGAGTCATGTGACGCTGGTATGTATGTATGTATGTATGTATGTATGTATGTATGTCAATGTGGCCTCAAGAATTGCTTTTCCTGGACTCTGAGATGTGGAGGTGGGCGAAAGAGAGGGACAAACTAGGTTACAATATAAAATTTCTTTCACTAGCCAAAAAAGTTTGAAACACAAATGCTTGGAGAGAGAGAGAGGGAGAGAGAGAGAGAGTGTGCGTGTGCGCGTGCGCGTGCGTGTGTGCGCGTGTGTGTGTGTGCGTGCGTGTGCGTGTGCGTGTGATTTCCTACTAAAACACAAAACGGGCTCTGTGGTGCCTCAGTTCCTCTCTGGGCCTCAGCAAGGGGCAGAGCCATGGGTTCAGCTAAGCAGTACCTGGAGAATTCCAAACAAACTCCTTTCCTTTTTAAGTCAATAGTCTGGAAGCGATCAGAAAGGCTCTTTAAACATGAAAACCTGTTTGCTAGTGAGAAGTGCAACTTGAAAGAACTTGAATAAAATTTTAAGTGGAGAAGTACAGAAGCTAAGTGCCTACTTCACATGGAGGAAGGGGCGTGCGGGCGTGCGTGCGGGCGTGCGTGTGTGTGTGTGTGTGTGTAGGAAGTGAAGTGCAAATGGCTAAGGATTCTGCTGACTAAATATAAAAAAAAAAATCTTAAAATAAACAGGGCCGATATTACAAGCTAGGTGTCTTCTTAACCCGACCCATGGCTAAACCCTGTTTTTCGTAAGGAAGCATGAGGGCAGGCAGGGAAGTGCCCGAGGTGGGAAGTGAGCACTAGCCACTCTCCAAGGTCTTGGGGCATCTGCCTGCCTGCTCCCTCCTGCGACCCACCCCAACGGGACACCTGTGTTCCTCTAACTGGAGGGCCGCAGCTGCTTCCCACTGCCCTGTGTCCTTGGGCGGCACAGGGCTTTGGAGGCCTGCATCTCTTCTAACAGAAGGCACATATGACATTAAGTCTTAAAGTGGACACTGTTGACAGTACGCTTAGTCTCTCAAGCCACCGGGAGTGTTCTCTCAAACATGGACACTTTAGACTTTGATGTTTTCTTTAGGTCCCATAATTCTGTGTCTATGAAAGACAATCATTGGCAATTCAGGAAATGGATTTCTATCTTGGATGCTAAAACCATCTATAAGAGAGGAATAGGATTAAAAATTAAAAGACGGAACTTAATTTAAAAAAAGTTTTAAAGTGTATTTAACCACTTCATCTTGCCATTAAATAGTTTAATATGTTCTTTTCATTTTTTATTATTTTTTTAAAGCACAGACTGGAGATCTCTATTTGGGTTGGCACTGATTTAGAAGATCTTATTCTCATCAATAAAATAATTTTCCTATTAAGCTTATTAATTAAAATTTTCACTTAGATATTACTTAGAAATCAGTTACTCCTTAAAAACATCACTTAGACCAGGTAGTGGTGGCCCACACCTTTAATCCCAGCATTCAGGAGGCAGAGGCAGGTGGATCTCTGTGAGTTCAAGGCCAGCCTGGTCTACAGAGCGAGTTCCAGGACAGCTAGAGCTACACAGAGAAACCCTGTCTCAGAAAAAAAATATATATGTACATACACATGTATGTATGTATATATGTATGTATATGTGTGTGTCTGTATTTGTGTGTAGTATATGCATGTGTGTATATGTGTATGTGTATGTATATGTGTGTATATGCATGTGTATGTATGTGTGTATGTGTGTATATATATGCATATATGTATGTATATGTATGTGTGTATGTGTATATATGTATGTATATGTATATGCATGTATGTACATATATGTGTGTATGTATAATGCATGTGTGTATATGCATGTGGGTATGTATATGTATGCATATGTATATGCATGTGTGTGTATGTGTGTGTATATGCATGTGTGTGTGCGCACATGTGTGTCTATGTATGTCATTTAGAACCCTTGAGATCTGAGACGGTAGTGACTTTAAACTGAAGCCACAGCTTTAGATAACTCATAGCTATAACTTGATTCCTTTAGGAGTTTTATGTAACTCCTAAACTGGCCACTGCGAGCAAATACGTTTCAGTGTCCCGTCTCAGCTGTGCTGCCATGAGCGACAATTCTGATCTCCAATTGACGGCGTTTTAAACAGCAAAGACTCTGGAAAGTATTTAACAGCTCTTCAAGAGCAGTGGGAAGCAGCCACATCCTTACCTTACGAAAGAACTGGACATGAGTCCGATGAACCCCACGGCAGCACCCACGACAGCTGTTTTCCGGCAGCCAAACATGTCTGTGAAGACGCTGGCTATGGGGCAGCAGAAGAAGATCATGCCCATGGACAGCGAGCCAACCCACGCTGGAAAAGAAGAGACAGCCTTACAACACGGCAAACTAACTCAGCCCACCCGTTTAGTCGGGGAGAGCACTGGTACACGGATAACCAGAGGGCATGCCACAGCAGCTGCAGTCCTCAGCCAGCGGTGACTCATAACACAGCTATGCTTAATTGAATTCTTGAAAGGTGTGTGCTTTTCAATTAATTAGACATTCCTCTATGGCCTTGTCTAATTCATATCTGTGGTCGTAAGCAATTTCTAATCTCTGAAACAAATTGCATTAGATAAAAAAAATTAAAAATTAAAAAAAAAGTTGAGCTTAGTAGAGCAAACCTATGCTTCTAGCACTTAGGAAGCAAACACAGAAGAAAAATGAGCTTAAGTCTGCTTGGGTGACATAATAAGACACACAACATACACACACACACATATGCACATACACACTCACACACATACACACACACATATCCACATACACACTCATATGTGTGTCAAATGCAAAAGAAAATGGCTGCTGAAATCAGGGTAGTGGTTATAACTCTTCACTTTAGAATGTCCTTTTCTTTTTTTAAGACAGGTTCTCACGCACCCCAATTCTGCAGTCTCAACAAGCCTTCCAGACTCCTGGAACTACAGATGTGAGCAGCATGTCGGCTGTGATGAATTCGAGTAGATCACTATCCTTCTGTTACAAACAGTTAAGGGACAGTTAAGCAGTGTGTGATTGTCTGTATAGCGTCTGGGCTAGGTTTTTGGCTTTTGTCCTAGAGACTGACTTATGTATCGCAGATTATTTCTGACCTGGACAGTCACTACAGGACATTTGTTTTACCTATGATTTATAAAGCTGTTATTTTCTTTTCTTCTCTGCAAGTATGTTATTTTCTAAACTTTAAAAAAAAAAAGGTAGTGGCTATGAAAAGTCATAGTTTCTGCTTCTGATTCTGTAAAAAAACAAAAGCAGAAAGCATTAGCATTAGGTACAAATACTCCTAACAGTATATCAGAGAACTAAGTGATCTGTCATCAAGCCTGGACACTCTTCTAAAAACAAGCTAATAGGACCTACACGAATGCAGCTATACAACAAGCCCTTTAATAAAGTTGTCCCTGAGAGGTCACGCCCCTTCTGAGTTGGTTTAAATATCTTGGAAACTGACTGGACAGACACCTTCCCAGAATTACTGAGGATTGGGAAAAGTGTAAGTGAACCTCAGTGCCCAGGCACCACACTTCCTAATCTAGAAGCTCTTGCAATGGTAAGACTAGGTGATCCATGAGAACACGGCCCACAGAATCAACCACGAAGGGCCTGTAGTGGCTCACAGACTGGAAGCAACAAACATGGGCCCTGAGCTATTCCTTTCGGTTGTGGACTCCCAACAGCAGGAGCAGGACTGTCTCTGACCCTCCCTCCTGCTGGGTTTCCTCATCCACCCTTGACATGCGGGTTGATTGTCTTGCTGTAACTTGTTAGACTGTGTTCAGTAGAAATCCCCGGGAGGTGGTGGAGGAGGAGTGGGTCTGGGGAAGAGAGGAGGTTACGGAGTGGAGGGAGGGGAAACTGAGGCAGAGACGTAATGTATGAGAGAGAGAAAGAATGGAGGTGATCTCTAGCTCCATCCAGCTCTGAAAATTCCCTGCCTGTGTTTCTCTATTTCCTTAACAGAGGCATGAAAACCAAATCCTGTAAAAGACCCTTTCTTAGTACTAGGTCTAAATGAAGCTTGGCCATATTGATAACTTCACCCTTTTTTATTTCATGCACTTTAAGTCATCCTTAAGTTATGTGCTTAATATACTTAAATAGCCAGAAAGAAGAGCGCAGTCCCACAAGGACACAAGTGTTCTTTCTAACCCACAGACCATCTCTCCAGCCTGGGCTGTATCCTTGCAGCCATCAGCACTATGCTGAAGAGAACATCTCCAGAGGATACGGAGAGCAACCAACACGAATCCAAACTAACCGAACAGGACATCACAGGACAGTCTGCCAGACTGTCGGTGAACCTGCCCATCCAAGCCAAGGCCTAAACCAAGAAAGACATCTGCTAAGGATGAGCCTAGAGCGGCCATTAGCAGAGGCTCTGCCGGAGGGAAGCCGCTGGCTGGAAAGATGGGAATGGTGGCTCACCTGCAGTCTAACCCTTAGGTGGCTGAAGAAGGACTGCTGTGAGTTCAAGTTCAGCCAGAGCTACATAGATGCTGTCTTTAAAAAAAAAAAAAACTCATCAGTAATAATTTAACCCCATTCAAAATATCTTGGTAATCCACACTTGAGAAATTTACTGGCTAGATGTGGTGGTGCTCGCCTTTAATTCCAGCACACAGGAGGCTGAAGCAGGAGGATCACTATGAGTGTGTGGCTAGCCTGATTTACACAGTAAGTTCAAAGACAATGTCTGAAAAAGCAAGTAAATAAGACAACAACAAAAGAAACAATATACTATCAAAGCCCAGCAGAATAGGACACTACCATCCATTCCCAGATAAGGCGCCTAGATAATCAAGGTACTACCATCAAATAGTACAGCACACCAAGAAATCTAAGTGTATACGTTACATGTAGTGCTCACTAGTAAAAATGCAACCTGCCCCCAAAAAACTAAATGAAAACAACATAACCACAAACAAAATCTGGCAAAAGTCTTTGACTACTGTGGATTTGGGGGGGAAATACATAGTTTTATCTTTTCTAAAAATATATATTATCTTTCACAATAGAAAATTTTTTTTTGAAAATTAGAAAGCATACCTTCCAGCTGATTCTGCAAGAATACATTCAAAAGAAAGCCAAAAACTGAAAAAATAAGTATTAAATAGTCCTAACAGTCATTATTTTGCACTAAAGGAATGAGTCATCTGAAAGGACATGGTGTCTCTGCCAAACATGAAAACTTACAGGCTTACACATTTATGAAATAGCACCCACGCAAGATATAATTGTATAGTCTGCTGAGCACCCTCTTAGCGCCCGTCTGTGGAGGAAACGGTTTCCTCTGTCACTGGATGAGCACTTGAGCAGATCCCTGTGGTCTTTTTGTCCGTGCTAAGACAACAGAAAGCCTGCAGCCAAGCCAGCTGACACGCCAGTCTCTGTTTAGTAACTGAATATTTTCTAGGCACGGGGACGACAGGCAGAACTGGGACCAGCTGCTTCCCATCCCTTCCCATCCTGAGTTCCCTCCAAGGCGGGAGCGATGAGGCTGGGGGAAGGAGAGCAAGGAAGGACATGATGCTTCAATAGTGCTACCCAAGGACAGTGGATGCTGCTGGGAGTCTGTGTGGGCTCTGCCTCTGGGCGCCTCTTGGCTGGAGCATTCCTGGCAGCTTTCAGCTGTCGTAAACAAGATTGTGGTGGTCTCACTGCCCCTCTAGGCGTCTATTTGGGCTGGAGTCACGACTGTTAAGGAGCTACCTCTCACCTACTCAGCCTCCTCTGACCTGTGGGAAGCACACAAATCCTTTCAAATCCCAAGCCAGCCACCTCCTGTACAGCTCTTGCATTGGGGCTGCTGGCCAGCAATAGCTCTCTCCTTGCTGGATATTTTTAATTGATTTATTCCTTGTGTGTGGGCATCTTACCTGTGTGTGTGTTTGTACCTCATGTACATCCCGTGCCTGAGGAGGCCGGAAGAGAGATACCCTTGGGCTGGAGTTACAGTCAGTTGTGAGCTGCCTTGTGGTTGCCGGGAATCAAACTTGTGTCCTTTGGAAGAGCAGCCAGTGAGTGCTCTTACCCACGGAGGCCTCTCTGCAGCCCCTCCTTGTTGGGGTTTCCAGGGGCTGTCTCAGCCCTCTGTGCCCTCTCCCCTCCCTCCAGGGACGGAGCTACATTTCACCCTAAAGACTGTGCCATATGTCGGTACAAGAGCATGTCCCTGTTCTTCCACGCGTGAGGTAAAAGCCTCAGCACGGAGTTCAGACGAGCCTCGCGAAATGCTTTTCCTCTCAAGAATCCTTCTACGGGTTTTCAGTACTATTTTAAAGCTTCCCCCCAACCCCTGACCACCTACCAAATGGAATAGGCGCTGCCAGAATTTCAGTACAATGTTCAGTTGAAACAATAACTGGCAATTGATGATGTTATGGCAATCTAATCAAATTGAAGAACAATTAAATATTTGAGTGAATAACCATTTGCTATCGGAAACTCATAAAATGTCCATTTTCTGTGAAGTTCCAACGTGTTGGCTGAAGAGTCCAAGCACTGGGTCTCGCAATGCAGCTCAGTGGGTAAAGTGCTTTCCTGTCATGGACCAGGCCCTGGATTCGAACCCCAGGACTGCGTAAACCAGACACCAGTGGTGGTGTCTGTATTAGATTCTAGCCCTCAGTATGTAGCTAGTGTGAGACCCACCCGAGCAACCTAAGGAAGGCTCTGTCTCAACAAAATAAAGCAGAGCTCTAGGTCAGGAGCTGGGGCGTGGGGGGAGGGTGGCACCAGCATCTCGGCCAGCCTGGTCTACAAAGTCCCAGAGCAGCCAGAGCTACAGAGAGAGACCCTGTCTCAAAACAGAGAGAGATTTCTGCCGTTTCCTTGATTTTATAGGGTTTGGCATTTTCTCCTCACATTTTGCATTGTTTTTTTGTAGTTTATTCTTTCCTGTGGTTTTGTGGATGGATCTGTTTTTTTGTTTTTTTGTTTTGTTTTGTTTTGTTTCCCTCTCTTTAGTCTGAAAGATTCTTCAAGTATTTTCTGTAGCGCTTACTTTGTTGTCATTAGTTTCTTTAGTCTAATTTTAGTCTATTAAAATGAAAAGGCTTTATTTTTCCTTCAATTATCACTGAGATCAACAATTAATAAATGGGACCTCCCTGAAACCGAGAAGCTTCTGTAAGGCAAAAGACACAGTCAATAAGACAAAACGACAGCCCACAGAATGGGAAAAGATCTGACAGAGGGCTGATTCCAAAATATATAAAGAACTCAAAAAACTAGTCACCAAAACACCAAATAATTCAATTAAAAAGTGGGGCACAGAACTAAACAGCAAGACCTTGTCTCAAAGGAGGGAGG